TGTGCGACCTTCTCGTGTAGAGCGAGCCGCCAGCACGAATAAAGGCAATGTTCTCTCCTCTTACTAAGAATTCTGGCATGCTTTCGGGTAAAACGTTTATCTGAAAGATCATTGATGACTTGTAATTTGTCGCTGGCAGATCTTGTACAAAACTTACTTGTAAATCGTACATCTTATGAAACTCATCCGATTTCTTTTCTCTTTTCTTTACCCTTTTTATCTGATCATATTTTGACGATTCATTTCCAAGAGTGTGGAGGTGCTGACTTGAAGGATCTATCTAAAAATAGTTATTGAACAAGCCCAAGCTATAGGGAGAGAAAAGAAACATTTGATGGAGTTGATATAAGGTGGCAACCTGACACATGTAGCAGTTGGCAAACATAGCTCTCTTCTTCTTTAGCTTTGCTTCCTAAATAAGGCTAAATAAATTCAAGAAAATGGAGAACTATAGGAGAATTTGTAAGATTAATCTCTGCTGAATTAATGCTCGTGGATACCTTGACTCTGCGTTCTTCATCGCTGCTATTCTCGTCGTCTTTGAATTCTGAAGTTCCTACCAATGTCCCATCATAATTTCGGATCTAAAAATTATCTACATCGCGACTACTACATAGGAAACCAATTTTGCTCAGTCAGTTAGAAACTTCCAAATACAATTTCTCTTGTAATAATATGAGATGCAAAGAAATGAAAAATCCAGGATGTGGCAAAACCTTCAACTCAACTCTCTCAAAGGCAGAACAGGATGTGACGGGTGCAGACCATCACGACGACGTACTCGATCAACTCGCGAAAAACCGTAGCTTTCCACAATAACATCCTTGAATCCAATAAACATTGAATAGAGCTGCTCTAGCACTTTAACTATACTAATGATTGAATAATGGACAATGATAGCATCTTCTCTTGCACTCAAGCGTCAAAAAGAAGGAAGGACGAAGATTTCAATATAGGAAAAAGATCGAAAATCTACAAGGTCGTAATGAAATGAAAAGCAATTTCAATAAAAACCAGCTATTTTAAGGACGTCGCACATGGGTTTCTGTTAAAAAGGTTATTATTCAGAACTTGCCTGATCTGAAAGAGTTAGAGCTATATCAAGAGGAAGATTCCGAAAATTCCTCTCCGGTTCAGCTTCTATCCTCTTGCCCCAATTCTTCAATTGAAGCTTCGACATCGGTGAGAGAGCATACCTCGCCCATTCTCTGTAATATCAACTTTACAACAACTAGAGTTTTAACTGAGAATGTTTACCTGCCACAAACTACTACACTCGCACAACATCTTTCAAGATGTCGTGACCTCTTATCCCGTCTTACCATTCTATCGCAACCAAAACTTGCGTTAATGCATGGGATCATCGTCTAGACAAACAGTGTCTTTAGATGAAAATAATGGCAAATAGTGTGGAGCACTGAAAAACGGCTCTTTAATACGTGCATTTTTACTTTAGGACAAATCTCATTGATGTGATCCTCCATTTTACACTCATGCATTCGTATAGCACATTGTGGGCAGCGAATTACCTTAATCGCATCTAGGAGTCAATAGAATATTAGGTAATTGAAAATAGTAGAAGTTGCGAAACTTACGGGGCATTTGACGATTCCTTCCACAGCACATTTCTCTATATGGCAGGATACGCAATGACTAAAGTGAACAATCTGGCGAGGTGCAAGAAGCTCGAGCTCCTCTTCTTCTTCATTAGAAGGATTCAAGTTTTCTTTATTTTGAAATGCAGACGATTCCTCAAAGTCTGCCATTGCAGAGAAGCTGGAGAGACAACTTTAACCAATGGCTTTAGGAATTTGAGATAAAAACGTCTTA